TCTGAAGGGTACATATTCCTAACCGCGGCACCCTTGTAGTAGGACACAGGCGTAGAAACACCTACCAATGATAAGTTCTTGTATAGGATCAAATGCAAAACAAGTTGACACATTGTCAGAAATCCACTGGATAATCTGTTAAAAACAGAAGACAAAACCTGGAGCAATATACAAGCAATCAAACCTGCAAAAAGAGTTGAATTCCCTATGTTTTGCTGTCTCAGGTGAAGAAAGATCACATCATCTATTACTGAAAAACAAGTTGACACATTGTCAGAAATCCACTGGATAATCTGTTAAAAACAGAAGACAAAACCTGGAGCAATATACAAGCAATCAAACCTGCAAAAAGAGTTGAATTCCCTATGTTTTGCTGTCTCAGGTGAAGAAAGATCACATCATCTATTACTGATCAAGGGCAGAATGAAATGCTTTTCATTCATAACTACCATGCAGTAATTTGAGTGCCTAGCTTTCAGAACCCATTATGGCTCCTTGAATCATTTTCAAGTGCTTTGTCAGTCTAACTCAGTGTTTCTCAACCTTGGCAACTTTAAGACCTGTGGACTTCAATTCCCCAAATTCCCCCAGCCAGCCTTGCTGGCCAAGGAATTCTGGGAATTGAAGTCCACAGGTCTTAAACTTGCCAAGGTTGAGAAATACGGGTCTAACTGGATGAATTCTAGTGTGTTTTAACCCTGGTCTATCTTTACTCAGGATTTGCATCAAACAATGTATGGAATGGATTTAGATTCTTAACTAAGTTTTGTGTTTTTGCTTCTGCATTCAGCTTACAGTTGAGTTCACCTTCTGATGTCCAGAATTAACTGAGATGCGCTGCATCTCTTGACTGACAACTGACTGATAGAAGAAACAGTGACTTCAGAGTGTTTTCTATTTTATACACAAAGATAAGTAGACGTCCATTTCTGTAATGCATACAGGAGGAATGATATACACACACCTGGTTTTCCAAATCCACTGTACTTCCAACATGTAGAAGGAGGCAGTGCAACGCCGCTAATTTGTCATTATCCAACTTGCTGTTCCACAGAAATTGCAACAAGGCCTTTTGGTTCATCGCAACAGTAAATATTCTTCCAGTGCTGCGATCCAAGATGCTCGACTTGACAGGGGAAAAGACAGTGCTAGTGTTCAGTTGATTGATTTCCGCGTCTTCACCTGAACAAAATTGGACAGGAGGAGTTTACAGAAGATGTATTCACTACATGCTGAAATACAGGCGTTCCATTCTGCTAGAAAAACCCTTTCTTTCATAAAGGTACCTGTTAGAAAGAAACTATGGCAGATCAAGTCAGGATGTTGTGTGTTCAGAAGGTGCAGGAACCGTCCAGGTAAGTATGCAGCCACGTAAGAGTCTGTTTTTGGATGATTTTTTTTAACATAATAAATTAAAACAAAAGAACACAGAATTCAGCTTTACGTGCCAGATGCATTATTCAACACTGCGGTGTTTAACTGTGAAATCTCATGAAAACTAGCATATTCATATTCCACAGGCAGGCAGTTCACAATTTAGCCCCCCTTGCCAGACAATCCTAATATTGCTGGATGTTTCACAGGAAGTAAACAGCTTAGGAATTCAAATGTTTCCCCTCAAGAAGAATGCAAAGGTCTTATGACTATAGGCAATTAAAGCTATTTGTTCTGCCAAGCAGAATGAAGGTCAAATTAGAAACGGTTTCTTATTTAGCAAACCAGATGGGCAAGGGGAGGGGTCGGGGGAAGAATATCATGGCAGAGCCATGGTAGAAAGAGAAAACAAAACATGTATGTTCCAGCTTTTCAGTAGAAATACCTCCCAAGTACCGTAGCTCATAAGCGTCTCTCATTTAGAGAAGCAGAAAAGGAGGAGGAAGAGCGGATTACATTATCCAAAATCTAATTTACCAAGGTCCAAAAAAGCCAGCTCCTTTATTTCTAGAGAATCCATTTTTTCCAAAGTAGTAGTATATGTTTTACTATAACCTGAAAAGAGGAAGACATAAAGATGCAGGTATATAACTTCTGAAAATGACATTAATTAAAACTGGAATGTAAACAATTGATCTACGGTAGGTTTTGATCGTAATTTAACAAGCTGCAGTATTAACTTAAAATTAACAATATAGCTTCTTTTATTCTGCACAAAAAGTTCTAGCGTGAGTATACTAAATAAACAATAGAGGTATAGAAAGCATTTCATAACTAGGCTTGACGTTCTGATAGTGAATTTTTAAAAATTAGATTTCCAACAGAAACTAGTTTTAGGTAACAATATTCCCTTTAATAGTTTTCCAATATAACTGCTTCTTTAAAGACATGTTGAAATGTATGTACTTTTGAATAATCAGCTACAAAGTTAAAAATATCAAAAGGGAAGAGCTGAAAATGCTGTAATATCTTGCAGAATAAACGATGCTTACCAGAATGCATACTTAAAAGTTTGGCAAAACTTCTTAACGCTGCAAGTCGTGCAAATTTACCTGTGAATAATTTCCCTTGACATTCTAATTTTGTAAGAGGCAATATAAACTTACCTTTATGTAGAAAACACACAGAATATGTCACTTCTTTGGAATTCAAAGTAGCCAGACTGTAACATAGACATAAACTTCCTAGAAAGTAAAAATATATGTGTATTAAGAAACTGCTAATATATAGTTTCCATTTTTTTTTAGTTCTTGAATTATGATTTATTGGGTCCTCCTTAAAAATGATTTTGTAACGATCCTGCTCCTATGTTAGAACATATATGCAGCATTTATAAACTGTGTTTGGATGGATCTTCCTGGACTATTTTACATTCATAATCATCATCATTACTTTTGCATCCAAATTTGAATGTGCTGTATGTATCTCTTTCAGTTTCACTTTTCTGTTTCTTGCAGAGCAACTGTTTTTATGAAAATGTTGGGGGGGGGAAGCAAGAGGACCCCAAATAGCACACATTTGATGTTTTTAGTTATACAACTTCACGCTGAGCTGTACTAGTCTCCTGATATCATTAAACACATTTCTTCCTTTTTATTTGACCTGTTGTTTTAACAGTATTTGTTGCCAAATAGTATATTTTAATTCCAATAAATGATAATAAAGACTCACCGAGAGTCATTATTAGGGATCCAGGCTGAGCTGCATTTCAAGTTCATGAAATATACAATTCACTAGAGAAAAAGATGATCCTAGCTTTGGGGAAAATTTTGCATTGTGTATCTGCACTGGGATGGAACAAAGCAAGCAATACCTGCTATGCTGTAATTCAGAAGGGCCTTAGTAAGACATGCAGATCATTTGATAACTCACATGTGGCGCGAATTATGACAACAGTATCAGCAAGATATATGGAGGCAGTGACAGATAAACCAACCCAGCCCTACTTCAGTACAGTTTCAGCAATTTAAAAAAAAAAACACATGTAATTGCCAATTTAAGAATGGCTGATTACATCGGACAAAGAAAATGTTTTATGGGCAGGGCTGCATAGAGAGGACAGGGTGTTCAGGAGAACAGAGGTGAGGTCATCATTTCTGGGCAAGAAACTTCATGGCATTTTTTCCTTAAGTTTGGGGGCACCTGCTTTTTTTAACAAATAAAATAGGTCCATACTGGAGTCTGAATACACCTATTTTACTTCATTTTTCTCCAGGAGAAAACTTATGTTTCCAAAGCTGGAAAGTCTGGGGGACACAAGCTTTCCATGCTTGGTATATTGGTCTAAGTACAGGCAGTACCTATGGAAGATAAGCTCATTCTGCAATATAGCACGGATTAAAAGAGAGAATCTGTAAATATAACTCAAAGATTCCCATCACTTAGATTTCGAAACAAAGCTTCTCCTATATACAGACCTACGTCACTGGTAAAAACACGAACATCCAAAGGTTTGGGTATAGGTTCTTGGTCTTGATAATAGCTATAGTCCAAGTTCACAGATCTAGAAAGAGAAACCAGGAGATAGTGACATCTTTATCCCAAAGATCTACATTATTGAAGTAAAAATACATAATCAAGGTGCAAGGTAGGTTAGATAACAACAGCATTCTGCAACAAAGCACAGTTGTCATTGTAACAATTCCCAGGACAGTCCTGGCAGAACTTCATTTATTTATTTGAGTTACACTTGAACTTTCCACACTGATGATGGCCAGCAAAATTTAAATGGAATATTAAAGAAATTAGACACACAAATTAACAATAAAATAGGTATTAAACCAACTAACAATTAAATGCCTGGCAAAAGTGAGCTAGCTTTACAGGATGATTAAATGTGGGAAAGTGAGGGGAGCAACTTTCATGGCCTGGCGGCAATAGGAGACATAGGCTTCTGACAGCTGGAGTTTCTTCAAAAAGGTCTCCCCCCTGTAGAACTTAACAACTGGAGAAATTCAAATGGGAGAGGCTATCCCTTAAATCATAATTTTAGGGCTTAAAAGTCAATATCAACACCTTAAATTGTATCAGTATGCCAAATGTACCTTGTACAGGTAGTAGCCTATAAAAGAAAACCTTGTGGGACCCTAAAAACTAGCAAATGCATTTCTGCATAACTTTTGAGGGAGCACAGTCCACTTTCTTCAGGATTTGAGCTCTGCTCCTTCACAACGCTGAAACCTCC